CATATTAAATATCATTATGGTGTCCAAAGCATACGCTGAAAGTGATGTTACTGAAGGGAGAGGGCATATCTCGCACCGTTTGCCGCCATAACCAGTAGCTGTCAATATACTATTTGTCAATATAACAAGGGGTAGTTGATACGCTATTGTGCTCATCTGTGTTTTTCCTGGAATATATGGTGCAATACTGTTTAACCAAGACGTGCATAGAGTAGCTTCGGCATCTGTTATACTTGACATCTTAGTTTTGAGGTCATGGGAGGTGTAAGTGACTTTGCGAGAGAACAATAGAGATCGCATGACTGAAACAAGGGACTTTATTCGTCTACCTGATATGTCGCCTGAAAGAGTATCTTCTTCACCATCAACTGTACTTTCCAATAACTGTTCTTCACCAATTGATTCATGTAAAACTAGACTTTCATTGACAATTGGTTCAGCTTCATCCATACCAATATCCTAAAAAAAAAAATACATTAATAAGTAAATATATAATTATAGTTTGTAGACATATGATTCAAGTAACTACATACTTCTGGTGTAAACTGTTTTTTTTTATAAAACTCAGTACGCTTATCACAGCGGTCCACCAACTTTTGATATTTATCTTTGATGTTTGGATCATTGGAGATGTTTGCTTTGCGTAGATATTTCATTCTCCTGTATTCTTGTACTCTAAAGGTATTTCTTTTCTTGTCTCTAGTAATCTTTCTGGGGTTTACGTTTTGCTTTTTGTTTTGAAGAATCTTCACAAATTCTTGAATATCTTTATGCTTTTTAGGCGCCAAATGAACCTTGAGTAATACCGTCAGTAGATTACTAAGTGATTTTGTAAATATACCAGTACCCTTCCACATAGTTTTAATATTGGCGCAGCACGTTTCCAGAGCTGAAAACATAGCAGCAGGCTCTGGCTGTGTTTTGAGAGGAAAGGTTCTATCCTTTGGAATCAAACGTAAAATGGCTCTATGTAGTGGATGCTCCCTCAGAGTTTTCTCGCTGATTCCCTTTGGGCCAAAATAGCTCGAATGAATATTCTGTAGATGCTCTTGAGTAAAAAGTCTTGAAAAATCAGCTTTCAGGGCATCATCAGGGTCTTTTAATACTGTATGGCTTGTTAAGGGTGATGGGATAGGCATGTCCTTCTCCATTTGGAAGTCTTTCGGAAGAAACCGGGAGATGTGGCCACTATTGAAAGGAGCCAGACGGACAGTGTCTTCATCTTTGACAAAACAATGTCTGCCCATAGCCATCATTATTGCGTATACAAGTGCACTAAAATTAGCTGAATAGCTTGAGGATGTCTTGACTGTTGCTTCTATTTTATTGTAGAAGACTTCTTGTACCTCTTTAACAACTGAATCTTTCTTCTGGATAGTTTTTATTGGCACAGTAAATGTTCTTATCTGCTCTGAAGTTGATGCTTTTTCTAACGGATTTTGTGCTTTACTTGAAGAAGCCGGCTCTTGTGGGCGAGAACTACTGGATGATGCCTGGTCTTGAATTTCTTTCTTTACTTTATCATGAATTGAATCAAATTGTGATTCAACAAGATCCGTCCAAATTTTTGCACCAGTTTTAACCTTGTATTTGTTCCGCAAGAAGTTTTCAGTTGTGCCTACACGAAAGCCATGTTGCTCTTCGGTAGCAGATTTGATCCCTTCAACTGGAAGTAAAACCTTTTCACTCTTGAATGTTACAAAAAGGAATGGTTTATTGGAAAAGTTGAAACCAAACGTACATTTCCACTTTCAACTTAAAACTTTTTTTGTCAGGTTCATTTTCAACCCATAATTTTTTTCCAGGTTCCTTTTCCTCAATAGATTGAGATTCAACGTAAAACCGAGCAAATATGTCCACCTTCAACTTTACCTATTCGCCCCAGTGATTAGGTTTAAATTCGGCAATGAGGACAACGCACTTCGTAGAACCAGAGAGATTATACACTGAAAAATCAGGCATAAATATATTCAGAGTACCATTTTTAAGTTGACCAATAGTCCATTTCATTTTCAGGCGTGAATCAGAAGCAAATACAGAGGACAATAAAGGAGAAAGATAATAATGCACATAACTATCCTCAATTGTGTCGTCGGGAGGACCGCTAGTAAGAACAGGAAGGATTTGAGTTAAGATCTAGGCAGTATGCATATCCAATAGATTCCCTGATTTGCATGCTGTGGTAAGTAATTCAGCACATAACGACAGCGAAGAGGACCAGTCAACAGGAGGATATGCTTCAATTTCCAGACACCAATCATAACAGTTGAAGCCTTTTGTAGGAATATATGTCTCAAAGAACAAGGTTGGTTTGAGGGTGGTATGAATTGCATCAGGGAAATACTTCGTAACAGAAAACGCAGAGTTCTTATCAAAGATATAAACATCATTCAATACGAGGATGCGAATATCCGATATCTGTGCTGAATTAGTCCGCTTGACTATTTGTGATGTTGTACTTTTCAATTTGAAGCATAAATCGGATATACATGTGTGATCAATGATCCATTTTGAGTCATCTTTGTCGGCTTCATTACTAGTTGAGGCTTCATCTGACTCTGCATAAGTTAGGGTGTACTCACAAGTACGATGGGGGTGATGATCGAATGTTAAATCAGATGGTATTTTATCCTCTTCATCCTTCTTTTCATTGCCATGTTCATCATTAATATGTGTCAGGACTGGTGTAGACTTGAGAGCTGTTTCCTTGGTGTTGGGCGGGCTGTGCTGGGTAGTATAATAAGTACCTGTGCCACAATTGATAATGTTAGAACCATTTGCATTGATGTTGAAGCTAATATTATTTGATTCTTTTTCAGATGATTCCTGTAATGATGATAAACGGCGAGCTTCTTTCTTCACATATTCGGGTACATCACTTGAATTCTGGATACTGTTCATTGCGGACAGATAATCATTTTTAGGTTTGGTACTACTTTGTGTCCTCTGCTTGCTTTTATTAACAGCACCCTCAAAGTCTGTATAAGACCATTTTCTGATAGGATGTTCCATGAAATATTTAATAGATAGGTCACTTGTGTGATTTTTCAATTTAAATGAATCATCCATATTT